TTTTTTGTAGAGATAGAGTCTCTCCATGTTGCCCAGGCTGGTTTTTAACTCCTGGCCTCAAGCAGTCCTCCAGCCTCATTCTCCCAAAGTACTAGGATTACAGTTCTGAGCCACTGTGCTCAGCCACAGTTTGATAGTATTTTGTTCAAGATTTTTATATCTATACTGAAAGAAATGTTGGTCTATGGGTTTTTGTTTTTCTTGTGATGTCTGTCTGTTTTTTGTATCAGGCTAATAACTTGCCTCATAGAATGGGTTGCAAGGTGTTCCCTCCTTCTTCTAATTTTTGGAAGAATTTATGAAGAATGGGTGCTAATTCACCAGTGAAACCATCTGTGCCTGGCCTTTTCTTTGTGAGAAGTTTTTTGATCATGTGTATTGATTTTGCATAGTGGACCCTAGTGACCCTGCTACGCTTGCTTATTAGTTCTACTAGTTTTTAAGTACATGCCATGGAATTATCTACATACATGTCTTCTGCAATTAAAAAGTTTTAATTATTACTTTCCAATCTGTGTGCCTTCAATTTCTTTTCCTTCCCTTGCTGCAAACCAGAACCTCCAGTACAATGCTGAACGGAAGTGGAGAGAGAGTATTCTTGCCTCTTCCCGGCTCTTAGTGGGAAAGCATTCAGTCTGCACCATTACGTAACGAGTTAGTTGTATTTTTGGTAAATGGTCCATTGTGATGTCCCCTCTTTCATTGCTGATTTTGCAATTTGTGTATTCTCTCTTTTTTTCTTGGTCAGACCAGTTAAAGCTATACCATATCAATTTTGTTGATCTTTTTAAAGAACCAACTTTTTGTTTCACTGATTTTCTCTATTGCTTTTCCCCCCATTTCATTGATTTCTGTTCTTGTCTCTGTTATTCCCTTCCTCCTTACACTGGGTTTGATTTGCTTTTCTTTTTTGGACTACTTGAGATGAAAACTTAGATTATTGACATTTGACTCTTTTTCCATTCTAATATAAGCATTTAAAATTATAAATTTCCCTTTAAGCATTGCTTTAATGATATGCAACCAATTTTGATATGCTGTGTTTCAATTTTCATTCAGTTCCATTTATTATCTAATTTCCATTGTGTTTTCATTTTGACCCACAGGTATTTATTTAGAAGTTCCTGGTTTAGTTTCCAAATATTTGGGGATTTCTCAATTTTCTTCTCTTATTGATTTCTAATTTAGTTTCGTTGTATATAGAGAA